TCCCAACAAATTTATGAATAAAGACTATTACTATACTCTGCACAGGAAAGGAAAACCTTACAGAAGTTAAATTATTTCACTAAGATCTTATAACTGGAAAGCAGTGGAAATTGAATGTGAAATCAGATACATTCACCGATAGCTTAATTTCTAGTGTTTAATGTCTAGCTTAATTTGCTATACTACCATGAGAGTGAATGAGTGCAAGAAGAGAAAGTCAAGATCAAAGGGAAAAAATAGTGAAATAATGAATGAAAAGAAAAGAAAGAAAGTTGCCAGTGAAAGTTTCTGAGAAGGAGGTCAGAGGGTAGAAGCTATATGCATACATGTTAACATGCTAACCAGAGAGGTTGCATTTTAATAGTAAAGGCTTATATTTTATATATACTTTTAGACAAATGTGACATCTCTTTTGACCCTGACCCTCAAAAACTTCATTACAGTGCTTTACATATAAATATTTTATACACATTAGACCATACCAGTCCCTGTCTTAACCCCTGTATGCCCAAAGGACTTATTTACTGAAGATCCGTGGTTTACCCATTTCCTTCTCTAGGAACAACCTCCTTGGTATATGTGTACTACATATGCTAAATCAGATCACTGCTACAGAGGAAGAGCACACCATTTTGACTTGTGCTTTTTGTCAGAGTGAATGTGGGATAATATCTTTTTAACATTCAATCATAGCACTTTGTAAAACAGGACCAACACTTTCTCTTTACAGCCTGAATATCTAGCAGTGCAGCAGAAACAAGTCTGGAGTAGAAATCTGGACCTAAATTTGATCACATGCTGAAAGTGTCATGTGTTAGAAAAAGCATGGATTTAGCAACCAGAGATTATGATTCTTACTATTTCATACCTGTAACTTTGGAGAAATTATTTAAGTTCTTTGAACACTATTTCCTTCATTTTAAAAAGGGAGCACTCACTACATGGTTGCTTTTAAAATTAAATAAATTTATCAAGATAAAGGATACCCAATACAAGGAAGTTGAAATGCTAGTACATTCAGAGTCCTTTTGTTTTGTGTTCTTTTCAGATGCTTCGTTTTTATTCATTCTGTAGCTTGTTTCCTCTCATCCATGTTAGGTAGGTTAGGAGGAAGGTGAACTGTAACTCAGCCACATCTATCCAATGCAAGTCTAATGAGTGCATCACTCTAGCTGGCAATGAATCTATTAATAAAAATGGAGTAGTGCATAATCTAATTCTCTGGGTCTATACTAATGGAGAATTAAAAATACTCAGATATAATGAATTTTTGATGGCAATCAGTAAAATCTTTCTCACAACATCAAAATTCTCACAGACTAAAATTATTCATTCCAAGCACTTCCCATACTGAGGTTTCTTGGCTTCTTTCTGCATAATCTAAAAGTTGCCACTCACTTCCTGACAACTTCTGCATTCCTGCATCGACACTGGTTGCAACTCCCATTACGAGTTAGCACAAGTTTTGGACAAGCCTAGTGGATGAAAGGGGAACTCTTTGAAGACAACAGAGAAATGAGCTAAGCCTTAACTTGGCAGACATATTTATTAAAATACTGATTTAGGAGATTTTTTTTTCAAATGTCACTTCAGATGTAGATCTCATTTGAGATCTCTAACTTTCTGCCTCAGGAATGAGTGTTCCTTAAAAGAACTGACTTGTTCCTGTTGTTTGGTTAATTATTAATAATCCCCACTTTCACTCTCAAGAGGCTCAGCGTGGATGATAAATTATATGGTCATCTTTTCTCAACCTTTTTGCAGGATAAAGCTCATCTCTTTATGTATTCTTCTCATCAATTTAAGAAACATTAGTTTATCTTTCCTACAATAAAGCCTTCGGGATCCTTTCTTGCAGTCCTTTAAGTACTTCTTTGATGCAATAACTAAGAGCTCACATAAACTAATGAATAACTCCCTGTGGCTCTGTTAATGGCAAAAGCAAATAAAGTAACTTTAGGGAGCTCACCTAATTCAGCAGCCTTGGGAAGGAAGCATGAGGGAATGTCCTTTCTAGTTTATATTTGCAAAGCAATCTCCAATCACTTTAATTAGTTTTTCCACTTAGTAAGTGCAAACACACATACTCATAATGGACAGCAAGAGATGAGAGACTTAGAGATAACTGATGCTATGCTTTCTGAGATGTCACTCCAGGCTTGAATTCTGAGCACTCTGTGATCTCACACACCTCCTACAAATTTGAGTCATCTGCCTTTCTACATTTCAGGAGAAGGTGTGCTGTGGTTTAGTAGTGTGAGGGTATTGAGATTGCCACATTGCCAGAGCTCTTGGGAGTCTGTCCAGGATACAGAATGGCTGCTGGGAGGATGAGCCACTGTCGGGATCAGAGACCTGGAACACCTGCAAAGATTTCACTGACCTGCTTGTCTAGGTAACTCAACAAGTCACTTTAGTCTACAGGATTTAAAAATATAAATGGAGGGTAATTTCTTCCCACTATGAACAACTATCATGAGACCTAAATGAATTCCTCTGGAAAGAAATGGCACATAGGGCAGGGATTTAGCTCAGTGGTTCCTTTGCTTGCCTTGCAAGCACAAGGACCCGAGTTCGATCTCTGGCACCAAAAAAAAAAAAAAAAAAGAAATGGCACATACTTCCTGTCCAGCTAGGGAGCTTGCTCACCAGGGTTGGCCACTGTCCCTAAGTATAATCTCCTGCCTTCTGAGAGGTAATGAAGCTGAAGCTTCAGGACTCCTTTCATGGCCTTAGGCCTGATTTTTCATTTTTGATTTTGTATTTTTTTTGCTTAAATAGCCATCCATTTAATAATTTTTGTGTCCCAGAAAACCTGAATCATGCTATTTGTCCTATATCATAAATCTAAACATCTGATTTTTTCCAACGTGCTCCTGATCACAAGGGGAAACCAGATAATGGTGAGGATGACTCAGCCTGTATCTGGATTGGGGAAACAGGCTGAGGCCGGCGAAGAAGCTGGCTCAGGTTTAACATTGAGGGCCAGGCCACACTGTCTCAAACTTCTATCTCTCTCCTTGTTTCTACCACTGTCAATCAGCTCCTTGCCTAGACCAAACTTTTTCAGCCTTATAGAACTGAGGCTTTACATCTGACAAGGGCATTATTTTGTCATAATCCCTAATTTTTAAAGGCTAAAAATGGTTTAAGCATCTCTAGTTCCTGTATACTCCTCCCTATAAAGATACAGTGTTAGCTAATTCTTTAAACAAGTAGAATATCTGTCTCACTTGTTAGATGTAATCTGCTTGGTGTCTCCCTGTGTGGGTGGAAACCAATGAATAAGGGCTACCTATCCAAGCACCTTAGTAAAACACAAATCAATGCAATTGTACACACCTTCCCATAGTTTCTTCTAAGGTGAGATAAAACTGGAGAAGACAATACCCATCCATAGATTTAAAACATGTTCCTCCCTTCACATTAGGAGCTGCCAGCACCTACGATGGGCTTGGCATTTTATTATACATATGTATTATATTATCTCTAGTCCTTTAAATGATTGTATAATGTAGATATTATTCTTCTCATTTTGTGGATGTGAAAACAAGGGTTTTAGTGATTATGTAATGTGTCCAGGTCACACATCCTGTGCTTGTGAGGGTTATGGAGGCTGAAGGTGATAGTGTGCAACATCAGAGGAAAAAAGCAGAAAACCATGGACATGCCAAGCCTTCCACTCCCCATTTCACACTGGTCTGAGTTTAAATCTTGCTTCTAGCACTTCCTGCCTATGTGTGGTTTTGGGAAGGATGCTCTCAACCTGTTTTTCTCATTTCTAAATTGAATAAAAAACTGCACTCCATAAGGCATTTGAAAAGATGGACAAGATCATGTATTCAGAGTTCCATTCCCACCACCCAAAAGAGCTTATTTTGGTTTGGAATGCTCATCCTCAGGACCTGAATGTTCACCTTCTCACTTCCTTTAGGTTGTCACTCAATTGTCACCCTCTCAGTGAGACTTTCCCTGACTACTCTTTCTAAAATGTCAACCCCATACCAAGTCCTCATATCTCCTCTCCTGCCTTATCTATAGATGTGTTTAGGCCAGAAATCTTTGTCTCTGTTAGTATTACGTGTTATCCCAAGCACACAGAGTTGTGCATGGTGCATAATAGGCACCCAAAATGTTGATTAAATGGATGGATTTTAGAAAAATTCTTTAGCAGCTGAAAGACCTAGGTTTGATGTGGCTTTTCTTCAATAGTTATTTGACCCTGGGGACACAATATAACACATCTAGTCTTTGGTTTCCTCTGTTGTAAAATGGGAAGAGCAATAATATTTATTTTTAAGACTGTTAATGATTAAGTGACATACATATAAAAGCATGAAAATATAACAAATGCTGCATAAATGTTTGTTATTAATATTACTTATGATGTGTCTCTGGGTGTTGCTCCGAGCTTTTAGGATAGGAGAGGAAGCTCAAAGTTATGGATGTTCTTACCATTTGTAGCCCAGTTCTCTTTCTTCTAGGGCACTTAACAGCTGAATAGGGGTGAAAGTGCTCAATGTTCGTAACTCAAAGCTGCTCACTGAGGTCTGCAGGATCATTTCAGTGACAGAGGCCAGGAACTCAAATGACTTGCCCAAAGTCACTCAACTCAAATACAGGGGCAGACAGGATGGAAGCACTGATGTTGTGCTTCCTAATACTGCATTCTCCGCTGCTTTTCTCAGCTTTCTGCGCTGTAGCGTGGGGCGGGGGTGGGGGGTGGGGATGGTGGTGGTGGTGGCTGGCAGTCTCAGGGTGTCTGAGTTCAGCTGGGCCTTTCACTAACTCCCCTCCCGCAAAGTACTGGCTAGTTTCGTGGCCAGGATCAAAGGAGAGAAAATCTCTGGCAACTGTAGTGTACACATAGGCGAACCCCTGAGCCCCTTAGTTTCCAGCCAGGAGTGTAGCTCCTGTCTCCACCCACCTCCAAAACCGCGAAGTAGGAAGGAGGATTAACCCCGGGGGAGGAGTTCCGCCCCAAGCCCCCGCCCCGCCTGCAACGCCTCTCCCTCGCGCCCACACTTTTTCTCCTGGTATCTTTGCCGCGCCGAACGCAGGCTGTCCTTCCAGGCCAGGCAGCCAGGATGCAGGTTCCGCACAAAGAGCACCTGTACAAACTGCTGGTGATCGGTGACCTGGGCGTGGGTAAGACCAGCATCATTAAGCGCTACGTGCATCAGAACTTCTCCTCACACTACCGGGCCACCATCGGCGTGGACTTCGCGCTTAAGGTGCTCCACTGGGACCCGGAGACGGTGGTGCGCCTGCAGCTCTGGGACATCGCAGGTGAGCGCTGCGGGAAGAGGGCGGGACGGGATGGGGCGGGGCGGGGCGGGGCGCGCAGCTGGTCCCCAGCCCTGCGTGAGATCTAGATGATCGCCAGGGCATTCCTCCAGAAGAGCCGTTTCTCTGTTTTGGAAACTTGTTTTTCAGAAGAAGGGCAGAGAGGAGCAGAGGTTTTTCACTCCAACTGAAACTTGCAGTGCCTTCTCTGGAGCTTTGGGGCTATGGTTCTAGTTCTGTCACTTTCCTCTGGGATCTTTCTGGCCACAGCAGGCCTCCTCAGGAACTCAGAGAGAGAGATTGTAATTGCGTTCAGTTCTCAGTCTATTTGATTTTGTGGGCCAGGACTAGGCTTTTGTGCTAATGACAGGGCCTAGAGTGTCACACATGCTCTCCATGCCTGAGCCCAGAGAGGGGAGGCCCCTAGCCTTGTTAACAAGGGAAACCGGGATACTTCCAGGCTAGTTGAAGTTTGCCCATTCCTGATTTTATCAATTTATTCCAAATTTCACTGCCCTTTTTTTCAGTCTTTCAGTCAAGAGAGTTTGAGAGTGTTTGCTTTCTATATATCAGTGGCAAAATACCCCCGCCCCATCTGTATCTCATTCTGTATCTTTCTATCTTTCTATCTCTCTTGCTCGCTGTGGTCTATCAAAAGGAAGTTGTGTACATATTTTAAGGCAGCTTCTGTGTAAGGGTCTATGACACTAGCCATAAGATTTCTTGATTTAGCTCTGAAGCTGTCTTTGAAAGATCTGGAAAATAATTTTTTTGTTTTGCTTTGTTTTGTTTTATTTTCCTTGACAACCTTTGAAATCAGAATTTGACCCTGAAGTTTGTACCTGGAGTTAGACACAGTCAAAAGTGATAGTGCAAAGTATCTGCTCCGAGAGAGAGTCCTGGGCCTAAGGCTGTTTGCAACCTGGGCATGTCCAACTTCTTATTACAGATCCTGGTTCTGCCACTCTAACCTGCTCAGTGGCTTTGGACAAGTCCCTTTAGCTAAGCTGAATCCCTGTTAAGTGGAAAGGGGTTAGACAATGATGGCCCAGAGCCTCCCTGCTTAGATATTTTAAAGTCCTCCAAGATTTTCTATGAAGCGCTTCAGACAGTCCCACTTCATCTCTATCTCATGGTCTGTGGCTTGAGGAACCTTTCTTTATCAGAGCTGGATGCAAACTAGCCAATTCTTTTTTTTCTTTCTTTCTTCAGAAAACAGGTACAATTCAGCTGATACATTTGCCTGGAAACATTTTATCATGGCTTGAAGTGAGAACAAATGTGGAAAATTTTTGAAAGGCCGTTTCTAGTCCGGGGACCCTAGACTAATCATGAGCCACCAAGTCTTATGATAAAACTATTGGAATGTGAACAGATTCATGCTTTTGGAATCTTCAGCAGTTCTAATAGCACAGGGATTATCAGAGACCAGAAGGTGTCATCAACCAGTGTCTGTTTGGGCTTTTGATCTAAAATATTCATTCTACGTCTATACAATACTCTTTTGCTACGAGTTTTAGTGTCTGAGAGCTCTTTTGGATGCATAAGTCTCTAGGAATTGCATTTAGAAATAGCTTCCTCTTTCAAAAGGGATGCACTTCTGTTTAAAATTTGAGTAATACTGTGACCTTAGGCATGTTATACTTTCACTGGTCTCAGTTCCCTCACCTAAATGGGGGAGATAAAAGAGTATAGTGATTACAAGCCCAAATTCTAGAGTTGAGCACCTCATCTGAATCTTTTTTTATTCCATATGCTTAGAAGTATATATAAATAAGGTATCTATAGAGTCTTGGAAAGTCAATTCTACAGGTAAGTGGTGTTCAGTGTTCTAGTAGTGGTCTTTTTTGCTCAGAATTCTAAAGCTCAGTGTAGGTAATCTTTCTTAGGTAGCCTCAAGCTCAAAAACTTTGTGGGTTGAGTTTGAGGTAGACAGAAAGCAAAGCTTGTTGAGTGGAAGTGAGGGCATGTTGGGATAGGATCATGAAGCATATGTGCTTCAGCTGTATGAGGGCCCGGTAGATTATGAGTTCATTTGAAATCCAGCCACAACTTCCCACTCAAACTCTAGTTAGCCAAGTGTACCTGCTAATATTTTCAAGTCACAGCCTGTCTTCTTTCTTTGTGCTCAACTTTGGTGCGTATTCAGAAAAAGTAGATGATGCAGTTTGGTGGGCCAAGTTTTGAGAGGGCTGGCATTGTCAGTGACATAGACAGAACTTGCTCTGGCCTGATAGAATACCAGACATACTAGCTAAATCTTGGCTTGGGTAGATTCTTGATAATCATTTGGCTCAATGCTAAGTAAAGTCCTATTTGTCCAGAAAATTCCCATGACATATATCTTATAGCCACTTTGATTGAGCAGCCTAATCCTGAAAGTCTCCCCCACAAAAATATCTTTAGGGGCTTGTAAGGCAAGGTGATGAATTCCACAAACTCCTTAGGGGCTCTCAGTTGCCCTAGATCATAGAACTCTACAATAGAAGAGCAGCTGGGTCAGCTCTGTTATCAGAAGCTTTGGAGAGAGTCAGAGAAATGAAGTAACTTTGCCTAAGGCCACCCAGCTCATAGTGGAAGGGCCAGATTTGACCCATTCTGTGACTTGGAGTCAAGCTGTGGTCTTTGTGCCCACAGGCTGCTGAATGGCTGGCACACAGTCAGCCTATGGGAATAGAGAACTCTTTCCCTTCTTTAGTTGATAGGTTATCTTTGCCCTCTCCTTGCTATTTCTAACTGATTTTTGGATATCAGTACTACTGTGTAGAAAATGGAAAAAAAATGAATGAAAATCTATGAAAAGTTCATTCTTGTTTATGTGAAATCATCAGGTTTTTTTTTTCTTTTATAATATAGATTCATCAGGAAAAAAACAGTGGAAAGTTCATACGTGAGTCTCCAAATCTAGATACAGTAATTGCTCCATTATCATATTCATAGACAGCTATACAAATTTATTTAGAACTCTTGATGTGCTTTGGGAGTCAGCTGCAGGAATTTGGGCACTTGGTGATAGCACCTCACATTTCTAAACCAGTGAAATAGATGGTTATATGCTAGTGCTAAAATTAAAACATGACTATTGAATCCAGCCCCCAGGTTCCTAATAGCTTTACTCTACTTCCCTCAAATTAAAATAGAATACTTCAGATATAATCTAGATATGCTGGAAATTATACATACTTTAAAAGTGTAGCACTTGACAGCAGACAATCCTTAAAGCCTTGCTGAATCTTAGGTGCCTCATCTACAAAATAGCAATTATTTTATTTTCCTGTGATGTTACATATTTATAAGATGTTAACTCTTGCAGTCCCCATCAGCTTTATTATCCTAGTCTCACTGTGCCTGTAGTGTAAGTAGTTCAGGTTATTCCAACTTCTTTACTTGCATATCTTGTGAGTTGCACAAGTTACTTATCTTCTTTGCTTTGGTTTCCCGTTTGTAAGATGGGTATAATAACAGAACCTGTGTACTTTAGATTTGTTAAAAAATTAAATGAGTTAATTCATATAAAGCTGTTCCTGACATATAATAAATGCTGAACAAATGTTAGTCATTACTCTTGTTCTAATTGTCATAAGTACAAATTGCTGTCACATACATTTTCCTGCTTGAGCTTACCAGGGTCACTGAGAGTGTAGATAGAGAAGATGGAGTTAAATCTGTTTTATATCAGAGAAGATCAAGAATAAGAAAGGTAAGGAATTTGCCCAAGTTAAGGGGTTGGACAAGCTTGTCATAGAAGAATAGTCTCAAATGCTGGAAAACAGGAACATATATGAGAGATTACCCAAGTGTGTTGATCATCAGAAAATCAGAAAGCCCAATACCAGATTTAATATAGCACAAATAAACTTATGGTTGCAAATAATTTAGATAGGCACATCTTCACTATGTAAAAACTTTACTGCGGGTCTCTACTAAATAACAAATTTCTCTAATGACAAGATCCAATTTAGAAGAACATTGTTTCTATATACAGTAGAGTACATCTATAGTAATTTTCTCTACCAACTTTGTCACCAGAAAGCACAGGAGAACATTATCTCATTGGCAGAGCAACAGGTTGAAGATAGTGGAAACTCAGAGTCAGGAGTCCTTAGGCAGCTACCTGACTCTTCACACCTGGGGCTGTGACATTCATTTGGATCACTGTGGTAGGTTGTTTTACAGTTTGCAAAATGCTTTCAAGTTGTGAAACACAACTGAAAGGTTTAGACTTTACAATCACTTTAGTACCTATTTCTAAAAGTAATTCTCCAAAGAGTTTTATAAAATGGGTCTTAAACATCAAGGTAATACATCTAGAAATGTGGGAAAAGCTAAATTGGGAACTAGTTGGTCAAACAAAAGAATTTTTTAAAAGACACTCATGTCAAGTCTGGGGCACTCTGCTTTACAGTTTATTGCCTTGTATCTAGCCTGGCTAATTATAGATTTTCTAATTGCTGTGTAGAATAGCATGTTATGTGCTTATAGGCAGAGTAAGCAAAAATGATGAAATTTCAAAGTTGGACAAGGGAAATAGTGAAAGGCCTCAACACTTCTTGCAGGACAATTGTTAGAATTTGTACCTAGGACATGTCCCATCACTTAGGACTAGTTTTGATAGGAAAATAGGCAGCAGTTTCACCAAAGCATGCTAAGCCATTTGAGAAAAAGAGGGAATATGAAAGTGTGCTTGTTATATGACTTCTTCAACACACACATTTGGTATATATTAAATACCTGGTATTTGTTTGGTTCTCTGCTAGATGAGGGGAAAACAAGGATAAAGAATTGAATATGATTTAAATATTGGTCTCAAGAAGTTTACAGTTTAGCAGGCATTATATAAAAGCAAATAACCTATAAAAACAAGTAAGTTGTACTGATTTGGATAAGTTTACAATACTGCAGTAGTCCAAAGGGGGTTCACCTGTGCTGCATCCTTCAACTATCAGCTTGAGACCAACTCTGAGGAAGATGGTAAAAACTTCTTAACTAGTATTATATTTTCT